CCTCACCAGCCTAGAACTCATAAATCTCCCCAATCTCAAACACCTCCAAGCCAACAATTGCCAACTCACTAACCTCCAATTTTTAGACTTCCAACACGCACGCGATAAAATACACACGCTCGAGCAACGAGAGAGCGTGCTCTTCTTATTTCTTTTCTTTTTGGTTATAGGGCTTTTTCTTTTCTTTTTCTTATAAACTAGTCTCTCAGACTTATTTTTAACCCAAATCTTACACTCCGCTATATAATTTACACGAAGGGATAAAATGAAGCAAAATAATAAATAAAAAGCCCTATGAATAACACCCCTTATAATATAAACCTCATTTACTTTTTAACAAAAGCCGGAAAACGACCTTAGCAGTCTTATTTCCTAAATGGGTTTTTTTATGCGACCGCTTTTCTACACTTATTATAGCATCTTCGTTAAAAAAAATATTTTTATCCTCATATAAACAGTAACACACATTCGTCAAAAATATTTTTTTTTCTTCGTATGCTTTTAAGACTGCTGTATAACACTCGCCACTCCGTGGCTCTAAATTATAAAAATGAGAGTTTTGGGCCAAAATTGAGAGGAAAGGTTAATTAGTTGAACAACTATTAGACAACTAACTATATATAATAGTTAAAAAAATTAGAGTAAAAAAGGCTAGGGGAAATTTTTCTAGTAGAGCATAATAATCAAGTAAGAAAGGCGAAATTATTTTACAATGAGCCTTCATTAATACAAAAAAAAATGCGAAATAGTTTACTATAAGCATTCCAAAAATATTTACTGAGGGCAAAAATACTTTTTATAGGACTTTGTGCTTATAATTGTGCACGAAAATTAGGTCTTGGGATAATTATGCTTAAAGATTGAAAAGTAAGTGAAAAATAAGTCAAAAGTTAAGTGAGGATAAATTTAAACTTTAACTGTTAAGAAAAAGGATTATTCTCATTCGCTCTGCTCGTAATTATAAGAAATTTGGGCCAATTAGCGACAACGCAATGAGAAATTATAATTATGAGGATAATAATGCTTCTAAATGCGGCCGCGCCGAGAGCATTCAAACTACGACCGCATATTTATATTTTAGATTAGGTTTACTATATTATATTTCTGACTAATCCATAAATACATATTTACATATCATACATATTTCTGTATTTACATATTGCGCAAATTAGATTATTATTATGCGCATAAAGTATGGGCATAAATATATATATGAGAAAAAATCTAAATTTAACAGTTAAAAATGAGACTTATCAAGCCCTAAAGCAGATCGTTCCCGCCGGACAAATTAGCTCCTTAGTCGATAATTTGCTCCAAGATTATTTAAAGCAGAAAAAGCGCGAGCAATTAATTGCCGGTTATAAATCAGCTGCGAAAAGTAAAATAGTGCGAGAAGAAGATAAAATTTGAGAAGGAACCATTGAGGACGGAATAGAAAATGAGTAAAGAAATTAAGCAAATCCCTAAACGGGGAGAAATTTGATT